GGGAGAGACCATTCCCTCTATCAGGAGAAGAATATCATGCTTGTCAAAGTGGAGGGGCATTGGAAAAGAGGAAGACCCTTGACCAGATAGATGACCCAGTGGCTGCAGCAATGGACTCAAACATAAGAACAAATGTGAGCATGGCCCAGGACCAAGCAGTGCTTCCTTCTGCTACACGTAAGGTCTGTGGGCGTTGGAGCCAACTGGATGGCACCTAACAACAACAATAACAAACTATGATGTGGTGCCCACCTTGCCCAAAGTCCTTTAGGATCAAAACTCACAATGTGTCCTGCTGCAGAGCCAAAAGCCGCTCGTGACCTCGTCGGGGTTACTTTAAACAACTCGTGGTAAAGCAGAAGGAGTCATGGGATTACAGTTAGGAAAACGAATGCCTATGCTGGGACCAGTTAAGGAGTTGCTTAATTGGTAACCACCGCCTGGGCCCTAAGTGTTGGTTTGCCGAAAATATTTAACCACTGGCTTTTGGGGGGGTAGGGGGGTGGAGAGGGGGAGGCTTTTTGCAGATTTCTGTAGTGTAAATACTTCCGTCATGGTTAATTTCAAGATACTTGCTCATTAAAGCGCTGCAAAATGACCAATGGATTCTCACAAGCTAGTGTGAGCTGGCCACACACGCCAGTCTCTGCTTTCACGTCTTCGTAATGGGAAGCACTTCACCTCGGCGAGACCACCACCAGCAAAGGGATGTAAAAACCCACGTGCATTAACAGATAGGAGGTGCTGCCCAGAGCCCCTGGTGGGTGTAAATGGTTCACTCGATCCACTGCTAACCAAAAGATTGGAGGTTCAAATCCATCCAGAGGGTCCTCAGAAGAAAGATCTGGCGATCTATTTCTGGGACCCCACAACCACAGGACACCAAGGGAGGAGGCGGGCTAGGTGATGGCCTATTGTGGGGATGGTAATGAAGGGGACGGAACGGCCTGGGTACGGAATGGTGACTATAAAACCGAGGATCTGCTCAGCAAACTTTCACCAGATTGTCCATAGAAGCCCTGTTAAAAGCCTTATAGTGCAATTCCACTCTGACACATATGTGTCACTAGGAGGCCCCATGAACTTGGCTGACTATGAATTTGTTTGCTTTAACTATCAAAGTCTTATATAATATCCTTATCTATCAATCATCTATTCATCTAGTTCCCTTCCTGCCTATGTTTGTATAAACGGAGGCTCCGTAAGTATGCATTGGAAATAAATTAGTATCATTGAGCTCTATGTTACTGCCACGAAAACACCAGCAACAGCCCCAAGAAACCCAGAGAGTCCTCTTCATGCCGGGAGGGGGAGAAGATGCCAACTCCTTATGCAACTATGAAATCTCTAAGGCAGGTGTTTTGTGTTTGGTTTGTGATGCGATTCTTAGGACACCTATCACAGACTCACCAGAAACACTTCTCAAATGCTCATTTCTGGGCCTCCCCCTTCCTGAAGCCCATAGAACCAGAATACCTGGAGGAAGGGCTCAGGAAAGTGTACTTCTAACAAGTCCCTAAGCTCTAATCACAAAAACTAAATTCACAAGGCCTCTTTTCATTTCCGTGGTAACAGTCCTCATCACTGTTCCTTCTGGAAGCTCTTACGTGAACTTCCTGGGCAAGAAGCCGCAACCCCGGTCACAAGCTGCCTCTGGCTAATTTTTAAGAAATGGACTGGAGACAGAGCCCATGTGATGGTGGCACCCGATGAAGTGACCCATTCATTGGAAAAGCTCCCTATCCAGAGACCTTGGCCCGCTGCTGGGAAGCGCCTCCCTGACTGAGGAGGGCCGTTCTGGGAGACTCCTTACCTGTGAAGAGGGCATGGTAGTGGAGGCCCCTCTCGATGTCCTGATGGGAGCAGACATCAAATAAGTAGGCTTTGATGGGCCCGTCAACGAAGTCAGCAGCAAAGTCAAAGAGGACCACACCCAGCATGGTGATGCTTATGGCCCCAATCCGCCTCTTCCTTTGGTCCGTGATCAAAGCTCAAAGAGAAGTAAATAGACATTGTCCCTCTAATGCCTGCTTTCGATGACCCCAGTTTTCATTTCCACCTGAACTTTCTGTCATCAAAATGACCTCCCTTTGCTTCCTTTTCCCCACCTTTTTTAAGTTGTCCAAACTGAAAATAGCTCCATTATTTTTTTCTGGTTTAAAAATGCATACATTCTAAAACTCAGCTCCAAAGATGGCGCACTCACTGCCATCGAGTTGAATTCAACTCATAGGGACCCTATAGAACATAAAACCAAGCAGAACTGCTTCTGCCCCTGCCCCTGTGTGTTGAGTGGCTGGTGATTTTGAACTGCTGACTTTGTGGTTGGCAACCCAAGGCATAAGCCACTGTACCAACAGCGCCTCAGAATAGGCAATGCTACAGAGACAGAAAGCAGATAGTGATTGCTTCAGTCTGCAGGGAGAGGGGTTGGGGAAGGGCTGCTAAGGAATTTGAGTGTCCTTTTGGGAAAGTTCTAAATCAATGGTGGGATGACTATACAGCTCTGTGACTGCAAAAGTTCATGGAATTCCGCTCTTTAAGTGGGTGAGTTAGTATGGAATGGTAAATCAATAATGTTGCTTAAAAATCATGCATGCCGATTATAATCAATCCACAGAACAGCTGGTGGTGAGAGAGCTTCAAATCCTAGCTCACAGTAATGGCCAAGCTTTTAAACATCCCTTGATGCATTTCCAAAAGGAGCTCAGGTACCCCTGAGTGGTAGGCACTGGCCTGCTAACCACAAGTTCAGCAGTTTGAGCCCACCAGCCACTCAGAGGGAGAAGGGTGAGACTCTCTGCTCCCTTGGGGATTTACAGTCTTGAATACACTGCTCCACAGCACTGGGTTTGAGTTTTTGGTTTATGTATTTACATACATATAGATATAGGTGTACAATTATGCACGAAACAGAGCTACTTTAAATTTAGCATGCTTAAACATTACCTGGAGGACTTGTTAGGGCAAAGAGCATTAGGCGCCTCCCCCGAGATTTTTATTCTGGAGGTCTGAGGTGGTACCTGAGAATCTGCATCTTTAACATGCCCCTTAAGGATGCTGCTGATGCTGATCCTGCTTACCCAGGGGCCACACTTTGAGTAGCTTGCTTAAGGGGGCCATTAAACACTAAATAGGCTCATCTATAGCCAAATGTATATCTTTCCATTCAATTAAATAGAGAGCGACTGTATAATTTTTAATGGCTAAAATTATTCAGTCTGTGGATATGTAACAATTCATTCACCCAACCGACTACTGAAAAAAGAGTGTTGCTTCCCCTGCTCTCCGTTGCTCGTCAAGAAGTTGGCAGCTCCCTCTTGGTATGGGGTTAACAGTGTTTCAGGACAAAACAAAGAGGTGGCAGTTTGAAGCCACCATCGGCTCCATCGGAGAAAGATGTGGCAGTCTGTCTCTGAAAAGATTCTCCACACGCACTGCCATTGAGTCAGTTCTGACTCACAGTGAGCCTATAGGATGAAGAAGAACTGCCCCTATGGGTTTTCAAGACTTTACGTCTTGACAGAAGTAGACAGCCTCATTTTTCTCCTGTGGAGTGACTGGTGGGTTTGAACCATTGGCCTAGTGGTTAGCAGCTCAAGGTGTAGCCCACGACACCACCAGCTTTGGAAACCCTCTGTCCTATAGGGTTGTTATGAGACAAAATTGGCTCAATAGGAATGGGTTGGGTAACTCACTTTAATTTAAAAAAATAAAAGTAGTTGAAAACAATAACTACAAAAATAAGTCCCTACCTTCCACTTCTCACTCCCTAGAGGCAACTATTTTTACATGCATTTGTGTGTGTGTGTGTATTCATGCAGAAGTAGCTGACATTCACGGGTTTGCACACTCTTCATAATACATACAAATGAAAACTGATTATGCTGTCTCATAATCAACCCTTCCCCTAGCCTGAGAGATAATAGTCTGTAACTGTGTGCTATTTTTAAGTTTAACAAAGCTTTTCTCAATGCCACTTTTAATGTATTACCACCAATTACTGATTAATGGCTAGAAAAAAGTGCTTACCATCAGGTTTGATTTTGTCCAGAATTTGCAATGCAAAAACGGCCCCCCATTATAAGGCTCCAGGGAAAGCTGTGCTCAGAATTAACTCTTACTAAGCCAAAACCAAACCAAACCCACCGCCAGGGTAGATTCTGGCTCCTGTAAACTTGGGGGCCCAGTAGAACTGCTTCTCCCTAGGGTTTCTGAGACGAAATCTGTATGGGAGCAGACAGCATCCTCGTTCTCCTGCAGTCTGGCTGCACTTGTGCATTTGACCTCTGCCTTCACGGTTCACGCAACCCGCAGCTCACCGGGACTTCCTCAACTCTGACTAGGTTGAGCCACCAAGTGTCTCTCCTAGGGCTCCAGGTCACACATACACATGTTTATTCCAAACATGCTTAAGCATGTCTGTGATTCGTGGATGGTTGCAACCAAATTCTCACAGTAATCCTTTGAGTTTGTCAATAAAAAATGATTTGGGGGGTGGTGGTGTTCCATGGGGGCGATAAAAAATTATTTTTTTGAGATCTGAGCTAATATCAGCATTTTCATAAAACTCAAGAGGACATCTTCCCAAATCACTGAAGCTTTGCGACAACTTACAGGAATGCTGCCTCCCCTAAAACAGCGGTTTTGGAGGGCAGGCCAGGGAGGCCTCAGGATGAATCCAAGGCCGAGAGGTCAGCTCAGAAGAGTATGGAGCCATTTTTTTAGATTCCCCAGGGCTAATCTTGAAAGAGTTCTGCAAGGACAAGGGACGGTCCTGGAGGGTGGGGGGATTATTGTTGTTGTTAGGTGTCAAGAGTCAGTTCCCACCCACGGTGACCTTATGCCCAACAGCAGGAAGCACTGCCCACTCCCACGTCTTCCTCCCACTAGTTTCTATGCTTGAGGCCAATGTTGTAGGCACGGTGTCAGTTGGAGGGGATTATTAGCCAGGGGCTTTAAGATCATGGAAAACTGCCAGGTGTGTCAAGAAATTTTTCCCATCATAGCAATGTACCTGCTCCATCTTTGAGGGTAGCAAGCGCTGTCCTAGGAGAGTTTTGTTGGGAAGCCTTCCCTCACTCACCTTACAGCCCTGACCTTGCCCTTTGCAGCTTCTCGTGGTGCCCCAGACTCAAAGAACATGGGCAAGGACCACAATTGGAGTCCCTGGAGGTTGTCAAACCTGTTCTTTGGATGGGGCATCAATCAACAAGCACAGAATTCTTCGGGGGAGGAGTTAGAGAAGTCATGGATGTATACAGAAAAAAAAAATAGCTACAGGTTTTATTATGTTTAAAAATACATCTTTCTATGCAGCAGTCGAGAGATCAAAAGATGTGTTGCATTAGGTAAACATGCCGCACAGGACCTCTTCTAAGTGCTGAAAACCAAAGACGGACTTTTGAGGCTAAGGTGTGCCTGACCCGAGCCATGGGCTTTTCACTAGCCTTGTCTGCAGGTGAAAGCTGGATATTGAATAAGGAGAACTGAAGAGGAACCGATGCACTTGAACTATGGTGCTGGAGGATGTTTCGAGTACTAAGGACTGCTCAAAGGACCAGCAGATCTAGAGGCAAGGATGGCGAGAATGCCTCCTTCGAACGTTGAATGTGTAGCCAGGAGAGAGCAGCCCCTGGAGGACACCGTGTTAGGTAAAGTGGAGGGACAGTGAAGGGGCGGAACGGGCTCAAGGGGCTAGGTGGACACAGTGGCTGCGTCCGTGGGCTCAGGCACGGAACCGTTGTGGGGGTGGAGCGGGACCAGGCAGGGTTTGATCTGTTGTGTTGAAGGGTCCCTATGGGTCAGAACCGACTGCCAACCACAATGCTTTTGTATCAATACTTCCTGACTCAGCCCATATTTGAACACAAAGATAATGTCTGATGCTTATTTATGGGGATATCGGGCAACTAATGTGCTTAATACAAATCCAAATGGATAAATTATTTTTGCATATTTCATAAGATTTAAAAATTGATCCTGTCTTAAAAGTCTTCCTAACCATAAAAAGCAAGGCATCCTGGTATTCAACCACAGCAGTTAGGCCACTCAAAGGTGGAGGCTCACGGTAAACTGAGAGAACACTTTCGAACCCATTTCTAAGCATCAGATAAAGAAATGCACTTCTCCTCATGGTGAGCTGCTGAATAGGACCTTGTCCCTGGCTGACCGACCTGTGTGTCCACTTACCTGATATGAAAGTGTCCCCGTTGAGGTACAAAGCCAGGCCCAGGAGCATCATGAGGGCCAGGGCCAGGATGTAAGGTCTGCGCCGGCCCCACCTGGCCCGGCAGTGGTCACTGACTGAGCCGACCACGGGCTGCAGCAGGAAGCCCAGGATGGGGCTGAGGAGCCACACCATGCTGTACAGACTCTTGGGAAGGCCCACGCTGAGCAGGACGGGGGTCACATAGGCCGCCTCCACTGCATAGCAGAACTCCCGGCCGAACATGGCCATGCTGTGCATGATCAGTCTGCCCCGGGGTCTTTTCGGCGGCTTCTTCAAGTCGGAGAGGCCGTCCTCAGCTAAGGATTTGTAGGTGTGCATGCCAGCCTGGCCACTGTTGCCACCCATGACCACCGGGCGTAGAATCATCCGGCAAGCCCACCAACTCCTGCGTGGTCCCCTGCCGGATCTGCACGCCAGGCCTGATTTGACATGGAACCTGACTGAGCAGCCCACAGAGCTGGTCGGCCGGGGGAGGGGCCAGATTCGCTGATGCCTCCAGATCACAAGGTCTGATGAGAAGGGAAGGGGCTGCGGGCCTGCGAGCATGACTGAGATTAGCAGCCGGGAGCCTCGGGCCTCTTGGGATTTCCTAAGGGGTTCACTTATAGTCCTTCTTTCTCTCTCTCTTTTTCTCTCTCTCTCACACACACACAGGCATGCATGCACACATGCACACTTACACACATACATACACACACACATAAACACGCACATACATATGCATACACATACATATATACACACACTCTTATTATCTCACACACTTTTGAAATAACAAGGCCCTACTATATTCTGATGTTAAGATATGAGTAGGCATCTTTCTATGCATTCCTCTGCATACAAGGAAGTTTCAAAGAGTTTGTAAAAAAATCGGATTGAGAGATAATAGAATTTTTCCAGAACGTTTTTGACCTCCCTGACCACAAGCTATCTAAACACAGAACTCAGGAGGCAATTGCTAAACTTAAAAAGAGGGGGTCCCAAGGCACCAGGCGTTCTATGGGAGAAAGATGGGGTTGCTTTTTACCACAGAGTTGTACGAGCAGCTTAGAAACTCCAGACAGGGTGACTCAGTCAGTCAACTCAATGCCATGGTCAGCAGTGTTTATTCGGTATCTTGAGAGTTGGACAGAGGGGTGGATATGAGAGTTATTGTGAACTATTTATTTAATAAATATTTAGCAAGTTTCCACTATGGGTGAGGCACTATTCTAGGTAATGAGAAATTAGCTATAAATTAAATCTACAAAGTCCCTGACCCTCTAAAGCAGTGGTTCTCAACTTTCCTAATGCTGTGACCCTTCAGTACAGTTCCTCATGTTGTGGTCACCCCTCGCCCCCAACCATAAAAGTATTTTCGTTGCTACTTCATCACTGTCACATTTTGCTACTCTTATGAATAAGGCAACCCCTACAAAAGGATTGTTTGACCCCCAAAGAGGTCTTTTGGTCACAACCCACAGGTTGAGAACCACTGCTCTAAAGCTTCTATTCAGTGTGGACTGGCAGGTGGGGGAAGAGGCTAAGGAGAATCAAATGTCAGCAGTGTTTCATCCCAAACCATCAAGCCAGGTGACGCTCTGTGGCGGACTTGAACTGCTCCTATGGTTCCATCTGCAGAGTGCAAATCTTAGCAGCAGTAGAGAGCCTCATTCTGCCAGCAGGGCTCCTACTGCGCTCCCAGCCCAGGGTGCCTGCAGAGGACGGTGCTGTGAAGAAAAGGATTCCCAGGGAGGGGATGGGGAGAGGGGTGGTGACTGCAATTTCAGAGAGGGGACAGGAAAGGACTCTCCATGAAGTGACATTTAAGCAGGGGTCTGAGGACAAGATGTGGAAGGAGACAGCTTAAGTAAGGAGTCCAGGATTTGAACAGGTGACAGTATGACGCACTGGGCATAAGGGATGCGTTTAGAGTCTGAGAAACCCACAGGAGCTGTGCTGCTCTGTCCTATAGGGTCCAGAGGCATGGCGATGGATTTCTTGGCAGCAGGTTTGGGATCCAGAGAAGGGGAGGCCTCAGAAGCATTGTCTCACATCTCATGGAGACAGGCTGACCGGTTTCCTTTCAATTGGAAGCGGTCGAGCTTTTCTATCTAAAGAACATCTCTGTAAACACAAATATTCAGGTGCAACAAAATGCTATTTTTAAAACTTGCTTGAAAGCATTTCATAAACGGAGGCAATCAAACTTTCAAAACTATGCAAGCTTTATTAATGAGGTACATTATATTAATTAATTTAAAACATATAGTACATCTTTAATATCCAGGAGACTTCCAAAAGTTTCTGGGAAAATTCCATCTTTTTTTTTTACTATTATTAAATAATCATTATATTAGGGGATCGTACAACTCATCACAATCCGTTTTTCTGCATGCTTCTTGGAGCCCCGTTAGGCATTCCATCAGGAAATTATGAAAACCGCAAACCATTTCTAACTCCAAAGCTTCGCTATCATTCCTTGGTAATCACGTCTTTGAGATGGCTCCACTCGAGGTCAATGCTGGGACCTGGCTCTTCCACGTTCCACATACATCATCTTGTATGCGCTGTTGGAGGCTGTGAACGCATCATTCGCAGTCACCGGCTGTGGGCTTCCCTGGTCAGAGATGAGCTCTCTGTTTGTGACTTCCAATGACCTGGGAGGAGCTCAGCTGACCAATTTCTTCCTGGCTGAACCCAAATTCTTTAAGCACCTCCTCAGTGTGCTCCCCTACAAAAGGGTCCTTTTGCAAGGAAGGTATAGCGGGGGTTCTGGAGAGCAGGGGCGCCGGGCGTGGGCTCACGCCCTGCTCCGTGTCGGTGATGAAGGAGCCCCGCTCTCTGCTGTGGTCATGGTGGGCAGCCTCGTCGAGCATCAGAACCGGAGTCACACAAGCATCGGTGTCATCAAAGACCCGACACCACTCGGCCCTTGTCTTCTTTGCAAAGGCAGCGGCAAATTTCTTCTTCATTTCTGGCCAGTGCCCCATGCTCATCTGGGGGGGAAGTTCGGCAGGATTTAGCCCAAGCCCTGGGGTGGGGGGTAGGGGGGTGAGACAACAAAACAATTTCTTATCCTTAGTATGGTTTGGGTAGACTGATTACCATCAACGAAAATGAAGTTTTGAGCTCATCATACTGCCAGATATAAACTGTTCTATAAACCCCCAAGCCCCAGTCCCACCCTCTGCCTTCGAAGTTACTTCTGGCTAAGATGGCCCAGTTAAGATGTAGTAGAACTGCTCCCCCAAGGAGCAGCCGGTGGGTTTGAACTTGAGGACAGCAATCCAAGGCTCATCTCACTGTGCTGCTAGGGTTCTCACAGGAGTCAAGGGAAGAAATCAGGGTCAAAATAGAACCCAAAGCTCAAGAGGACAGAGGTAGCTGGGGTGCGGGACTCCAAAGCCGACCCTCCACTACCAAAGTTTGTGGTGTACATTTCATGCACAGTTGTCTACTTTGCAGAAATCAATGTCTTCCAGATGCGGGCTTTGAGAAAGACATGTCACTACAGTGTTAGCATCTGTCAGTCCCGTTAAAGCAGCCTCGCATGTTCTATGATGCGCTCAAGCTCTACAAAAGATAAGACGGAGACCATGTGACTCACAACCATCTCACTTTTCAAGGACAGAGATGCTTACCCTCGAGACAGCTTTTCACAGAAAACACTTATTTCTACTGCTTTGAGCAAGAATACGTGTGTGCCAAAAACTTTGGCAGGAAATGGAATTGGAAGACAGTGTCTCCATGAGCTTTTGGAAGTCCCTTCAGAGATGGTAGCAAGTACAACCTGAGCATCTTTACTTAAGACAACAGCAACTACGACTCAGGCCCTAACTTGCTAATCAAATCAGTTCGCCAAACAGCATCTCCCTCTCCACTTGCTGTAGTGAGATAACAATAATTTAGTAGCTCACATAACATTATAATATAAGGGTGTGCCCAATAAACTGATGCCTGGAATAGATTTTTTTTTTCCTTTTCTTTTTTAACATCACCTTCTCTACTACAACAAAATTATTTTCAGGAGCAATGATGAGTGAAACCAATAATAATCATGGCCAGAAAAGACAGGCAGATGGGAAATTTCTTCCTCCACGGAACTTTGTGTAGTCTGGCCAGTAAAAATGATTTTTTAAATACATATATAATCCATTGCCAGGATCGGCTTCATTAAGTACCAGCACGGCCACCCACAGTGAGCAGGTGGCTGTGGAACTTCCAAATTAGGAATCCTCTAGGAAGAAGAAGAGAAACTTTACTCTTGAAAGAGAAGACACTGAAAACCTCATGACCATCAGCAGAACATGGTCAGAGTGCCGACAGAGGAGACATTCACAATACAACTGAGAAAGAGCTGCGCCTCAAGGTAGACTCAACCTTGACGTGTCTTCCCTGACCTTCATTTGCTGATGGGGCATGACTGATCCTGAGAAGAAACAGCTGCAAGCACCCATTCAGAATCCGAACGTGGAATGTATGAAGCATGACTCCAGGGGAGCTGCAGATTGGCAAACGTGGAATCCTGGGCACTCGTGAGCTTGAATGAACTAACCTTGGCCATTTTGAATTAGCGCACCACGTCGTTTATTATGTTGGGAAGGACAAATTCAAGAGGAATGTTGCTGCATTCATGATCAAAAAGAACATTTCAAGCCGGATCCCGAAGAGGATGTGGAATGAAAGATATAACTGATGGTATTAGATAGATCTTGGCTGAAAGCAGAGAAGAACAGAAAGACGTTTACTTGTGTTTTAAAGGCATTTGATCGTGTGAACATGTTGCAGAAGGGGATTCCAGAATACTTCATTGTGCTCGTGCAGAACCGGAACAAGATCCATGAGGCAGTCACGGGAACAGAACATGGGAACCCTGCACTGGTTAACATCAGGAAAGGTGTGCGTCAGGCTTGTATCAGATCATACTTATTCAGTCTGCATGCAGAGCAAATCGTCGGAGAGGCGGGAGCACGCAAAGCACAACACAGCCTTGGGGCTGGAAGAAGGCTCATTAGAAACCTACAATACACAGGTGATATAACCTTGCTTGCTAAAGCGCAAGAGGGCTTGAAGCACGTGCAGATCACAGACCGCAGCCTTCAACATGGATTGCAACTCAATGCAAAGAAAACCAAAATCCTCACACCTGGACCAACAGAAACCATCATGATAAATGGAGAAAAGACTGACGCTGCCCAGGGGTTCGTTTCACTTGGAGCCACAGTGAAGCGGCAGTCCAGAGAGCAAAGGACTCTGTGCATGTGGCGCGTCTGCTGCACCAGACCCCTTTAACGTGGGAAAAAGCAAAGATGTCACTTTGAAGACTGAGGTGCACCTGACCCATGCCTCAGGTGCGTGTGAAGACCAGACGATGAATATGGAGGACGGGAGAAGAATCAATGCGCTTAAATGCCAGTGCGGCAAACACTGTGCTGACAGTAGCACAGGCTGCCAGTAGAACAATCGAATCTGTCTCGGACGAGGTCAAGCCAGAATGCTCCTTAGGAGCAAAGACGGTGAGACGCTATCCTACATTTGTGGGCTATGTCGTCAGTGTCCGGGAAATGCCTCTGCTTGGTAGACTAGAAGGGCAGCGAAAAAGAGGAAGACCCTCAACAAGATGGACTGACACAGTGGCTGCAACCATGGGTTCAAACACAAGAACAACTGTGAGGGGGTGCAGGACCAAGCAGGGTTTTGTTTGGTCGTAAACAGAGTGAGTCACTGGAAGTCAGACTCCAAGGCACCTGACACCAACCGAGAACCTGTTTCACCTGAGGTCCTTTCCCAGCACAGCACCTAACTAACGGTAGGAGAATTACCTAACCATACTGAGTAGGAGAATTACCTAACCATACTGAGTGATCAGTAAGAAAAACACTGACTGGTCCCCAAAAGGGATCTTTTTAAAACCTGAACCTGGTGGCATAGCAGTTACACGCTGGGCTGCTCACTGCAAGGCCAACGGTTTGAAACCACCAGTTGCTCCAAAGAGGAGACTTTCTACTCCCATAAGGAGTTGCGGTCTTGAAGCCCACGGGGGACGGTTCTACTCAGTCCTGTAGGGTCACTGTGAGTCAGCATTGACTGAATGGCAGGGAGTCTACGAGAACTTCTACTGAGTTATCGACTAGTACAATTTCTGTCAATTTAAAAGATGGAGGGAATGATGGCTATAGTTAAAATACTTATAAACTATATCTATAAGAAAAAGAAATCGGGGGAGCGGGCAGGGAGGGGAAAAAAGAGGACCTAATGTCGGGGGTTTAAATGGAGAGAAAATGTTTTGAGAAACGATGTGTACAAATGTGCTTTACACAATTGATGTGTGTATGGATTGGGATAACAGTTGTATGAGCCCCTAATAAAATGTTAAAAAAAAAAAAAAAGAAAGAAAAAGAAATCATGAATTTCAGGCAGCCTCATCACAGAGGCTGCAGAACATCAATCAGTCAATGGAGGATGTGGGGAACAACATGCGAGGGCTACTCACCTTCGATCAGCAGCTTATAGAACTGGGGTTCTAACGCTCCAACAGCCACGAACTCCCCATCAGCGGTCCGGTACGTTGTGTAGAAAGGCGCTCCACCATCTAACAGGTTCTGGCCTCGAGGCTGTTCCCACAGTCCAAATTTGAGGGTTTTCCATAGAAAAGAACTTAGATACGCTGTCCCTTCCACCTTTGAAGAAACAGAAAATAAATTCAGACAATTTGGCAATAAAACCAGGATAGGTGTCTGGTCACTTAAAAAAAACAAAAAGAAACTTGTGGAAAAATGCTAATATTGGAATCTAGACAGATTATGTCTAATGACACAACTTCTTTGATATTGCCAGAAAGTGTGTTACACTAGAGTGGGGCTAGAATATTAACCGGCTGCACACTTCAACTGAGAGCATAATATGAAAGTTAGATGAAACTACTTAGGTTTTCACTTTCGATGAGGATCTCTTGGGGAAATGAGGTTCCCCAACACTTGAACAGGTCCTCAGGAGTGACTTCAAGATTGTGGAAAGTATAAAAGACAGACAGACAGTGGGGTACAGGAGCTCCTCTCCCCATGTCAGGACCAAGAGAATGTATTTTCCAAAGGGTATATGTAATTGGGATTACAGATCTTTCATAAGGCATGCATGTCATATAGCTAACACATTACATAGTTAACAGGTAATATCATAAGCAGGTATCATAATAAAAAAGCAATGAGGTGAGTCAGTGTCTTAACCTAGTGCTAGTTGACCTTGATTCCACTATGCCCCTCCCTCCCCCCCCAGCCCTCCCCAGGGGTAGTAATTAAGATAGACTAGCAAAAGAAACACCATCTTTTTCAGCTGTTGAATGACCTGCCTCCTTCCCTATCCCATCTCAGAAAGTCCCGTTAGTGACTGATTTTAGAATGGACTCTCATGTACCCAGGTTCAGGACACTACAATTAGTTTAGACTATTCTTCAATAGATCATTTGTTTTAATATTGTTCCTTTTGATGTGCAATCTGAACAGTGTAGTTAATCTTGTCATGGTAACCAGGATGTTACAGTCAATGTTGGTACTGTTTCTTTGATGGTAAGGAATGTACCTTGTAACGCATGCTTCCTCTTCTTGAAGTTACCAGAATACTATCATCAATGCTGTACCCTGTAATGCTCCCTAACCCTAAAGAACAACATTAATTTGGCTTTCTGCTTCTGTCCACACTTGCTTAAGTCTTAGACGAAGGATAAATGAGTTTTTCACCTTTAAAAAAGAACTGACTGGCTGGACCAGAGGAGGTACACTGGTACAGATAGGAACTGAAAATACAGGGAATCCAGGACGGATAGCCCTATAGGACCAGTGGTGTGAGTGGCAAAACAGGAAGGGTAAAGGGAGAATGGGTAGGAAAGAGGGAACCGATTACATGGAACTGTGTGTGACCTCCTCCCTGGGGGACAGACAACCGAAAAGTGGATGAAGGGAGACGTCGGACAGGGCAAGATATGACAAAATACCCATTTATAAACTATCAAGGGCTCATGCGGGAGGGGGGAGCGGGGAGGGAGGGGAAAAATGAGGACCTAATGTCGGGGGTTTAAATGGAGAGAAAATGTTTTGAGAAACGATGTACAAATGCGCTTTACACAATTGATGTGTGTATGGATTGGGATAACAGTTGTGTGAGCCCCTAATAAAATGTTAAAAAAGAAAAAAAAAAAAGAAGAAGAAGAAGAACTGAAATGTGGACTCGAGACTGCAATCAAAGAATCACTTTTCGATTCTAGCAGCCTGGTTATAACCGAATAAAGACACTTCTAAATTATCAGGATGTTATAGTAGCTGTCATTTATTCGAACCTACAACATAATCTGATCAGTATCAACAGAGATGTCAAAACAAAGTTTTTGGAAATGGAGGAAAGACATAAGAGGCAAAAGTAATTTATAGAAGCATAGCTATCAGCATGCATATATGTAAATATACTAATTTTTAATGAAAGGGAGAGAGACCAATGTACACATATTTATATGTTCAGTATTAAGATAGCAAACAGACTTTGGGCCTCTACTAAAGGCCTCCTTTAACACAAGAACATTTTGTTCTAATAACCTGGTACTCTGATAATCGCCTTCCTAACATGATCACTGAAGAAAAAATGGGTGCATGAGCAAATGTGGTGAAGAGATCGGGTGGTGCCCAGCTTTCAAAAGATGTAGCATCTGGGGTCTTAAAGACTTGAGGTTAAACAAGCAGCCATCTATCAGGGAAGCAAATAAACCCACATGGAAGAAGCACACCAGCCTGTGTGATCATGAGGTGTTGACAGGACCAAGTATCAGGTATCAAAAATCCCAAACAACTACACTGATGCAAACGAGGGGGTTCGGAGAAGAGACCCAAAGCCCATCTGTAGAAATTGGCTATCCCCTCACCTCCCTACAGAAGTCTTATAAGGAAGGGATGATTCAACCACGGTGCAATACAGCACCGACAAATCACACATCACTCCTCTAGTTCCTGAATGCTTCCTCCCCTCACTACCAAGACCCAGTTCTACCTCACAAATTTGGTTAGACCGGAGAACACACATTGGTACAGCTAAGAGCTCTGGACACATGGAATTCACACAGATAAACCCCTCAGGAACAGTAGTGAGAGTAGTGAAATCACGAGGGGAGGGGGACACTAGGGGAGGAGGAAGGGAGAGAAACGGGAACCCATCACTAGGTTGGATATATAGCCACCCCCCACCAAGGGGATAACTAACAGACATGTGTGGGAGACAAGTAAGATATGACATAATAATAACAATATATAATTGATCAAGGATTTATAAGGGTAAGGGGGGAGGGAGGGAGGGGGAAAAAGAGGAGCTTATACTAAGGGCTCAAGTAGAAATGTTTTAGAAATGATGATGGCAACATATGTGCAAATATGCTTGATACGATTGATGTATGGAATGTTACAAGAGCCGTAAGAGCCCCCAATAAAATTATTCAAAACAAAAACAGAGTTTGTTCCTTTAAGACTGACCCTTAGTGGAGGGCTACTGCAGGGTGGGGCACATAGTCACCTGGAGACTGTTCATTTGAAAATCTTTCTACCTCAGAACAATGGAGATCTTTCTCACAATCGGGCTAGATTTCCTTACCCATGGTTGCACGTGTGGAAATAAGGTCAAATACTTTCTACCAGGGCCGCAGTTCACCACAAAGATCAGTCAGACAAGAGTCCTGGTTGAGCGATGGCACACAGGCTGGAGGGTAGCACTTCACTTCCCCGCCTTCCTGCCCCCTGGGGAAACCTTCCGCAATGGCCTTGAAGCAGGTCATGTGGTGCCATTGGTGGTGAGACTTCTGAATACAGCCAACCCAGCTTTTATCAGTACCCTCCTGACACACCCCTGGAGCTACAGACAAACACCCTCCACAAAGCCTATTTTGTTTAAAAGCACTCATGGGCATTCAAGGGTAGTTGCTGAAAGTAGGAACTTCGGTCAGAGGGCACAGGTCAGCGCTCTGCCTCCAGAGGACTTGATCTTCACCACGGCTGAGGGTTAACCCCTCCATGTCTGAACACCTACAAACCGTGACCTGGGAGCGAGTCGGCGAGGACCACAGGAGGGAAGGCACAGACGGAGCCTCTGGCCTTCCACTGGGCACAAACGCAGTGCTGCTGCTGCCCGCTGGGCTGAAGCCACGTTGGAGCGAGGCTGGGGAGTAAATTGAGCCCAGTGTGGGAGGACAGTCCAGCCCTGGATGCAGAGCACCGTTTGACCTGTGGCCCAGGCAGTACGGCATGGCATAGGGAGCACGGGGCTCAGAGCTACAGGTAGGACATTGCCGTTTTGAGACAGATAGCCTTGCCATTATGCCCATTTTATAGAGCTGGATGGAAGGCACCAGCCACCCCGTGTCCCGCCACCCCTCCTCCCCTGCCATCCAGGATCCTGGCCATGGTGCCATTCCGCCACGTCCTCCTCCTCTTCCTCCTCCTCCCCTCCAACTGCCCTCGTCAAGGTGTGGCTCACACCATGAAACAGGCCCTCCACTCCACAAACAGGAAGCCCTCCTGATTCCACCCTCCTCCCTCCCTGCCACTCCACCACCAAACCCCAGCCCTTCATCTCACGTGCTTCTGACACCCAACCCACCTTCCCGTGAGCAGTGTCGGTGCCTCCCTCTCAGCCAGACGGAGGCCTAGGGAGCAGCTTCCGGAAAACGGGCCACTGAACAGGCCGTCGGACACAGCCCGACTACCGCACCTGTGCTCCTCCAGAAAGACGCCGGGACCCGAATGTGGCCTGCTGGCTAAGGAGGGAGGGTGCAGGCCGTTTTAAAGAAAAGAAGCCCTTTAGTCAACTGCGTTCAAACTCCAGGTCTCCTCTTGCATGCTCAGAAGAGGGAGGCCGCAGCCATGACTGGGAGTACCAGGACGGTGGGCAGGTTCCCCTCCCCAACAGCCCCCCCAAGGGACACTTACCATGTTGGCATCAATGACCTGACCCTTGCCCGAGCGCGTGCGCTCAAACAGGGCCATCAAGATGCCCAGCGTGCACATGAGGCTGCCACCAGCAAAGTCGGCCAGGAGGTTCAGGGGGGCACTCGGGCTCTCACCACTGACGCCAAGTTTCGACAGAACGCCTGCACCAGCGAAAAGCAAACACGAAAACATTGGGATGCGCTGACAGCGAGCGTCGCACCTTCTGACACCCCTCTTAGAGCAACAGCCTGTCTCTCCAGCTGCTGACCTGCCTGCAAACCCACACTTCATCTTCCAAACCTGAGCCTGGTCCTGAGCCTGGTCCGGGCGTGGACTTCTCCACACTCTGTGTTTTCTCCTCCCTCCTGCTTGGGTCCCACTGACATGCTCACCGTTTATTTCTAAGATTTTACTCCCTGAGTTGTGAAGGGAAAAGTATTGTCATCCGTTTACTGTAGGACTTAAAACAGTAGCATGCACCCCATACCCCACCCTTACAATAAAACTAGTTCGCTGTGTTGTTCAGTGAATTTTTACAGAACAAATTGGTTTTTCTCCACAAATTATTCTGTGACTCGGGTCGCAATTTTTACCACGGGTCAGCATGCTCACTGTGTTCTGTTTCCGCTGACCTCACTTCCCTTTCCCACCTTCTCAGCTTCGCATTGGGTTAAATGGTGATTCTTTAAGGAAACGTATCATTCACGGTCACGCTAGTTCTTTTAGAAGCCAATCTATTTGGCTGACGGATGTTTCCTTCAGAAACAGCTTCCATTCCAAGTTCAAAGGGTATCTTAGAGCCAAAGTCTCGACGATTCCTCTAGTCCCTTTCAATCCGGTAATTCTGATCTGTTTCAGAATTCTGAGTTTTGTTCTACATTTTCCTCCTGTTCTATTTATGGCCTTCTACTTACCATGTCCCTGGTAAGAATGGTCTGCAGTGGTCACCAGCCACTTTCTACGTCTGGTCTCCATCTACATGAGCCTGTGGTTCATGCGGGCCGTGCCCGGACTGTGGAGGGGAAGCACCTGGACCAAGACTGTACGCTGTTCTGCCTCACATACTGTAGAGACCCAGAGTTTAGTGGTGACTCTCTGGGCTGCTTGGAGACATTGTGTCCTTATGATGTTTTCCCAAATTCTGAGATGCAATGATAAACTGAGAACACACTACATTTGTTGACAAGATTAGCCCCAAAGAATGGTTTGTGCTTATCGCAACTTTATCATGATGTTATTGGTTTACTATGTGCTAGGCACCCTTGCCTCATACGGATGATACATCTCTAAAGTCGCCCCGGGCCCTGCCCCATTTAAGACAAGAAAGGTTCTCTTTATGAAAAGAAGAGGAAGAAGAGGAGGAGGCTGATTGGAGCCCAGAAGATGGATTTTAGCCATGTTTCAGATCTGGATGTAAACTCATCCCGTGTTAGAATAATCAATGATTCCAGATCAAAGGGCAGCACTCACTCAGGAACCAAGGACAATGGGCTTGGAACAGAAACAGGAAACACAGAGAAAGAGGGATGAGTGTCTGGGCGCAGAGGAGACTGCAATCCGTACGTTGGGGCAAAAATATGTACGAGTTGCTGAACGTAAAATGGATGGTCTGCTCTGTAAACCTTCACCGCATTCACAATAAAAAGTTAAAAACAAACCCACTCAGCTTTTCCAGTGTTCATAGAAAAAAGAAATGATGACTCACTGGCAGTGGTCCTCCAAGAAGGGGTGGGAGGAAGGGCATAAGGTCAGAATCACTGATATCAACATCTCTACACTGCAGGGCCGCCAGCACCTACTACTGCCGTGAATGGCTTACTCTCGAATCTGTGCTTGCCTGAGAATTTGACCCCGCAAACAGAGGGAGTGAATGTGCCTCATGTGCCCTCACTGCCACAGAGTCCGTTCTGACTCATAGCAACCCTCTAGGGGGGTGCAAAAACGCCCACTTGGGTTTCCGAGACTGTAACTTTTTATGGGAGAAGATAGCCTCATCTTCCTCCAGAGTTTGAGGATTTCAAACTGCCAACCTTGTAGTTGGCAGCCCAATGCAAAACCACCACGCCACCTAGAGCACCCCCTCACATGGGTTAAGGCAGGCGATAAAGGGTTGAGAGTGATTGTTCTGAGAAGTCAAGCCAAACCATTTTTTAAACAACTACTTTCCTTATTGATTTTGAAAAATACTCAAATCACCGGTATTAAGGAATCGTTTTGATAAATATAATTTCAGCTCTTGACAGGGAACAAAGAAGCATAAAAACTGGCCCCAACATACCTGACAGAGCTAAATAGTTGATATCGTGTCCTGCTGCTCCTGAGAACTTTCCAGACTGGCCAAAGCCACTCAAGCGGGCATAGATGAGCTTTGGGTTCTGCCGCTGTAGAACCTCTGGGCCAAGCTGGAGTTTTTCCATGACACCTACCGATAAAATTAACGTATTGTAAGAGCATGAGCTGAGGACAAGTATAATTCCTCCTCTGCGGCAAACGTGAAGCAATGTTCTAAGAAGACCAGTGCTGACACTGGATTTAGTCGGTTGCTATGGGCTCAGCCAAGTGAGAAGGCCAGGTTTCCTCCGGCCACATCCAAGGCTACACAAACCCCAGAGCAGGCACCTTGTCCCTTCTGCCAGCCCCCTAACCATTTCCCCAAAGCTCTCTTTGTCTACTTATAAACGGTTTCTTCCCCTGCAACAGCTATCTTGGGTCTCTACTAAAGGTCAACAATAGACTTACAGGAACTACTACTTCTTGGGAGGTAGAAACGATTAAACCTAAGGCTACTACCAAAGAGGCGGATGGCTCAAATCCACCCGGAGGCCTCTCAGAAGGTCTGACCTTCTACTTCTGAAAGGTCAGAGAAGCAAAACTCACTACCATCAAGTCCATACTGTGAACCCTCTAGGGCAGGGTTCTGCCTCTGTGGGTTTCAAGACTATAAGTCTTTAGGGTTAAGAAAGCCTCATCTTTCGCCCTCAGAGTGGCTGGTGGTTTTGAACTGCTGACTTTGTGGTTAGCAGCCCAGCACACCAGACAATGAATATACTCTATGGAGCACAATGCTACTCTGGCACACACAAGACTGGCAGGGATCAAATCAACTCCAAGGTACTGTCATTGTGCCTACCTTCCACCTGGTTTTATATTATGTATCTATATAGTTCTGTTCCTTAGATATGCAGAAGCTCCTCTGGCAAGAGTCATGCCATCTGCTTGCACAGGCTGGCAAAGCTCCTAGCTCAGGACAATGAAGAACTCAGTAAGCATCTGCAGAGAGGTAGAGACACCCGAGCCCTCCTAGTGATCCCGTGTTGGTTGTTGTAAGGTGCTGTTGAGTTGGTTCTCACGCATAGTGACCCTGTGGACCACAGAGCGAAACACTGCTGGTCCTGCGCCACCCTCACAACTGTTCTTATGCCGGAGCCCATCAGTGCAGCCACCATGTCCATCTGTTAGGTAGTCAGTCTAGCGTAAGGCTGGGGCGTCCACTAACGCATGCCCACAGGGTCAAGCGACAGAAACAAAGGAGTGGCACACTGCACATGCTCAGAGGTTCAGGTTTCCCTCCAGGTACGCGTGGGTGGGTGCTGCACCTGGATTGGCCCACCTAATTCAATTCAGGCAGTGGGGTCGACCAGGGGTCGTCCACCACGCCTCCCGTGGAATAATTGAAAAGGCAGGAGCCCAGAGTCGACCGCGTGACTCTGCAAGCAGTTTCCAGGCAGGCTGCACATTTGGGAGGAGCCCTGAGGGTGCCTGTGTAAACTTGAAACTTCTAACGCTCATAAAACTCACTTGGATCACAAACCAGGGTTCGGCGTGAATTCTTTCTCACGGGGAGCCAAGGACCGAAGTATATCTATCCCCAGAGAGACCTAACAAATCCATCTTACTGAGGGGCTTCCTCTTTTTCACTGCCTCTAGCCTTTACCAACCACGAAGTGCTTCTCCAGGAACTGGCTCTCCCAACAACACGTCCGAAGTATATGAGACCAAGTCTCACCATCCTTGGTTCTAAGGAGCACTCTGCTGTACTTCTTACAAGTCAGAATCGTTGGCTCTTTTGGAGGTTCATGATACTTTTAATATTCTTCCCCAGCACCATAATTCAAGCATATCAATTCTTCCTTTCGTCTTCCTCATCCAATATCCAACTTTCACATGCATATGAGGTGATTGAAAATACAAAGGTTTGGGTCAGGCACACCTGAGTCCTCAAAGGAACATCCTTGTTTTTCAGCACTTCAAGGTGGTTTTAGGCAGCACATTTGTCCAATGCAATGATTCTTTGGATCTCTTGACTGCTACTTGCATGAGCACTGATCATGGATCCAAGCAAGAGGAAATCCTTGACAACTTCAGTCTTTTCTGTTTATCGTGTTACCTATTGGTCCAGTTGTGTGGGTACAGCATTTTGCTTTTCTTTACCTTGATTTGCAATCCATACCAAAGGGCTGCAATCCATGATCTTCACCAGCAAGTGCTTCAAGTCCTCCTCCCTTTCAGCAAGTCACAGGTAATCAGTGCATAAAACCATGGCACCTGACACCAGGAGTCTCCTGCATTAAGAGTGTTGGTTGTGATGGCTGTCAGGTGCTGTCGAGTTGAAAAGCAAGCCCTTGTATCAAAGGAGCATGTCCCCACAAGGTCCCCACAGAAGCAGATCCCCACCCCCACACCATTCCCCACAGAATGGCTGGGTGAGTTCAAACTACCAATCTTGCGGTTGGCAGTAAGCTGATTCAAGATTGCATAATAAACTTTCCCTTCCCACGGCTATCAGTCACAGAAGCAAATAAACACCAGCCACAATACCCTCACCTGGCTCTACCAGGTCACCCACCTGGAGCAATTTATATAGCCATGCTGCAAATGAGGGCTAATTTAATTAGAATGTTACTTACTAGGATAATCCTCAAACATGGCTGTGAGGCTTCAATAGATAGAAATGCCTCCAACCAAGAGCTAGGAGGCAAAGGGCATTTATAGAGGTATAAATAACGGCATGTACATATATATGTAAATACATTTATATATGAGGATGTGGCAATAGATCTATGTGCACATGTGTATAGGTTTAGTATTAAGGTAGCAGATGGACATTGGGCCTCCAC